TGCGGAACCTGCAACTGCCGCGGCAAGCAATCCTAGACTCTGAAAGTTAACGACCGCATGCCAAGTAACGAAAACGAACACCAGATTGATTAAAGCCTGCAACTCGAGTAAGGCCTTCAGCCCGCTGTTCTGAAAATCAAGCCAGGCCACGCCCTGCAGGACATAGGATACGACGGTTCAGATTCACCGGATAGTCGGTGAAGTTCCCATACGGGATCCCTGGCCGCAGCTCTAAGGGCTCGGGAAACTGAGAGGGCAAGCAAAGAGCAGATCATCGGAGCTACCCAATCAATAGTTAATTAGTATAACAAGACTAAGAACATTAATTCTCATATTTATCATTGTTCTTGATTTATGGCGTAAGGTTGTAGGGACTGTTTGACTTAGGGCCATCTTCTGTTGCAGGAACGCGTGCATTACTGCCAAAGCCACAGAGCCGGATCGGACTTTCAGAAGAATCCCGAGCCTCGAGCATGTCGCACACCCCATGCTCGACGACTTGCAAGCTTGAAACCAAGAATCCCAACTGCCCCGGTGTCCTAAACTGCAGCCAAACCCAAGAAGTTCAAACTCTCAATGGCCCCAGCCGGATGTATCAATCTGCTTCTAGTTTTTACCCTTTTGCTGCAGGCTTGCATGCACGGACGCCCCTAGCTTCTGAGCATGCGACTGAGAGACCTGATTGAAAAGGCAGATTAGTGAGTAGAGCATGTTGGTGAATGACACACAAGTGAGGGTACTACACTAGCACATGATCATCTGGTACGTAGATATCCAGAAGAAGCCCGTCAAACTCGAACTGCAACCAGCAGAACCATAGTTGACATAAGCCCTAAACCCTCTGAACCGTTTTTGCCCCGGAGTCCTGGGCAGTAGGATCCTGGAGGGCAAGGCTGACCTTGCGCTGGGATCCAGAAAAAAGGGGGGAGTTGGGATTCTGGGACTCGCATCTTTGAGGTAACCTCACTTCCCCCGGACATACAGTAACAGTCGATAATAGGGACCCGAATAAGGACTCGATATATATATATATATATATATAACATCATAATCACATATAACACATATTTATGTGTTTGCTTTAAGTATGTACATATGTATTTATGTTGAAAGTATTGTCCAACTCTTAAGGGATCTTGAAATGTTGGAGTGGCTGTGAGTCCCGCGGGTTCCGGGCCAAGTAATGATCTACTTCAACAAAAACAGAAGCAAGAAATCACGTTTTGCTTAGTTTTAGTGAAGCAGTGCCCGCGCCAGCGGCTGGTCATCCTTTCCTTTCATCGCCAAATCCTTACGGCGCCGTGTCATTCTCGGCTAGTCAAGTCCCGTCGTGCCATTGTCTGTGAGTCCCTGGAGGACTCCATCACCCACTGTCCGTTGTCAATCCCTGTTCTCCACGGATCCGATCGGCTTTCTCCGGTTGTTTCGGCCTTGATCCGATGCACCGATGTCTGCTCGTCCCGTCTCTCTCGCAGGTCTGCCGAGTAGTCTGGAAAACGATGCTTGCCTCAGGCTTCATGTCATCCCAACTTCTCCCGAAATCACATCATGAAAACTAAGAAGCAAATGTCGGAGTTCATCTCAAGAGTCTAGCAACTGCCGAGCAAGGGAAGTACTACTGCATGTTTCCCGCTTCTTGGACTGGGTAAGCATGTATTGTTGGTATGTGTTTGTCGCTTGTTTCTGTAACACAATATCTACCAAAAAAAAGTAGCAAGCGAGCAAGCACATACATGCAGAGCTACATGCAGAGCGGGAGACACAAAGGACCAACGGTGGAGTTCTCTGGGTGTAAGGATGTGTGCGCGTGTGTCTGTCTGTCTGTGTGCCCAAGTAATAGTAAGCGTGTGTATGTGTGTGTGTGTGTGTCTGTCATAAAGACGTTTGAGTACTGACAAAACACCTATACATATACATTCATTTACTTTATCAAGTAGTCAAATTCCTGTTTACTTACCTTTCCACAAAAACGGATGCACGTGCCTGTATGCGTGCTAGTACATGCCAACCTGTAAAGGGAATAAGGGAAGGGCAGGTTGACTTTGAGAGCGTGTTAACACTAGTGCAGGCTGAAACGGAACTAGACTCAACAAACATCTACGGTACCTTAACCCAGAAAGCGTGTAGTTCCTGGTCTTGAGCTCAAAAAGTAATGGTTCCCGGTAGAGATTTACAAACTTCCGGAAGTTCATCATTGCGGCAACTTGGCAGGAATCGACCGGCAGATGAGGAGGATATGGCAGCCAGAATGTACCCGGAAGGCCTCGGTCTTCGTAGAGGTTGGGGGACGACTTCCAGGCCTAAGGTCCGGAGGATCCTACGTGTGCTTGAAATGATGGCTACATGGGAGTTTCCGAAAATAGGGGACCCTAATATAGTACCCTAAATAGTAGGATCCTTACTATAAGGGCCCCAAAATACCCACATCTACGTGTCGCACCTTGAAGGAAGAAACCAGGCTATGCTTGCAGGACACATCATCTGAACATTGCCCGTGCATGGACGCCTGTACCAAAAGACGAGCCATGGTGAGGCCGGCCATGACGATGACATGGAGTACTAAGCGCAACGGAAACCCCCAGACCTTGGCAGTGAAAGCCCACATTAAAGAAAAATAAAACGAGACCGAGGGACATCCCTTGGTTGGATCGTCAGCCAAGGCCTCGGCCAAGCCTGAAAGACCGGGCGTTCATGTCCTTTCTTTTTGGTGTGTGTGAGGGGGAGCAGAAGGAAAGAGGGAAGGGTTTCGGGCTTCGGGCTTCCATGCTTTCTGGCATAAGCTTTCTGAAGCTCTCCTAAGGTCTTCGCGGGGTCACGGGAGCACGAAGTTCAAGGAACATCGAACCTGCACGCCACATTGCGTCAGAACCACGCAGCACCTTACGACCGAAAGCCCAACTAACCCCGAGGTCCCGAATTATCGCTGAGCGCCATCATCAGCTCTCAACTTGAGACAACACCGTCTCCACCTACCATCCAAATCGTAACTCTAGAATACGATTCCCACGCAGCCGCTCTGCTCAACAGATCCCACGAAGGAGGTGCCACCAGTAAACCCCCTGAAACCTCGAAACACTTGATGCTTAGCCGCGACAAGGCAGCCTCAGCCCTAGCAGGTACCCTGATCCTCAAAACTAACTTCATAAGCAAGCATAGCTCAGGCCCAGAAGCAGTCATCGACACAGGGAGCTGACTGGGCTGGTTGCGCACGCAGCTTTGGCAGGTCACCTACCTCTGGTTGGAGTTGAGGATCAGATTTCAGACGGAAGTTGCAGTTTTCGAAATAACCAGAGCAAGATTTAGGACCCAGCGGTGATCAGAATGATGCGTAGGAGAACGATACCATTCCAACAAGTTCTCGCGGTTTCGGGCACTCACACCCGTCCATGCGGAGTGGAGATCTGATTGGCAGAATTCAGCCTCTGCAAAACACTCAGCCGCCTGTAGGAAGATGACAGTATACCCATAGGCCCCATAGTAGTTCCTTGTTGGGAATACCTTATAGGATTCTATGTATGAACCCTAGAAAGGAACTACTTTGGGGCCTCTGGGTACTATCACTGTACCTTCTAGTATCAGAAATCAACTCAGCACCCCGAGATCCTGAACTCCACTGAGGAGAGATAGCGGATTCACAGTTTCAGCACTCACTCTCGGACAACTGGCGAGGATTAGGGGTTTAGGACGGTTTAGGCATCGGTAAGCAACTCTTCGTCCCGACAACCCTTCACAGGACAGCAGTGACTCGAAATCGAAAGACCAAATCCCTGAAGAGTTTTGGGCAGTGATGAAAGGGAGCCGGGGCTTCGAAAGTCTCTATGCACATGCTGGGCAACACAAAGGCTTGCCAGCGGAAAGCGAGCCCTGGTCTAAAGATGGCATCGAGCTGCCCATGTCAACGCCGCAAGGCATGCAGCTCGAATCATCCCACATCGCATTCCCGGCGTGCTCAGCTGTAATATCTAGAACAAAGTTTTGGGTCCCAGTATACTATATAAATAAAAACGAGCCCCCAAAATAGTATTGGTAATTATCTTAAGGCCACGATATTACCGAAAGACTTGGTTAAACCACCTTTGGGGTCAACGGCCATGCAGAGTTCAGGGCCACAGCAACGGGAGATGCACTGCCTATATGCTGAAGGCCACGGCTGAGGATGTCTCAGAAGCGTCTGGCCCCAACAATCCGTGTGTTGTGCTTACCGAAACTAGCAGTAGAAGAAGCTTCGCTTGCAAATCACTCCGAGCCTAGATGAAGCACATGGCAGCGGTTGCCTTTTGGCATAAGCAAGATCATGAACAACACTACCCTGTAACATGGGTTAGCTAGTGTCTGTCTAAACTAACCGAAGCTCTCAAGGGATAAACCAGAACCCCAAACTCTAGACCTCTAAACCCTGATCTAAGCCGAGGTGGGCCTAGAGCGGCAAAAGGCGAAAGGAAGGGGACTGCTTGCAGTGCCTGCTAGCTTGTGTAGCCACGACTCGAATCAGACGCTCCCGGTTTCGGGATCATGGGAGCGGGCGACTTGAAGAAAGCAAATGAAGGCTCTCAATACGCAAAGTTCCAGGATACACATTGCACGGCTGCACACACACACACAGACAAACACAAAAACACACACACACACCTGCATGCCAACAGACAAACGAACAAACCACGCGGACAAACTAACAGACAACAGCAGACAGACAGACCGACAGGCAGGCAGGCAGGCAGGCAGGCAGGCAGGCAGACAGACAGACAGACAGACACGCTCAATCATTCGACCGACCAAACAACCAGCCAAGCAACCAACCGACCAATCAAACTAACCAGTCGGCAAATGAATCACAAAAGTAGGCAATCACAAAATCAAACTAAGCACATGCACACTCACACACAGACACACAAGAAACAGTCAAACACAGCAACCACACAAGCAAAAGAATCCAATAAAGAAACAGAAATGGGACTCTGCAGGCCAACTCTGCTCGTAGGTGTAAGCTCTGAGGCTTGGACCTGCTCTGACCGCAGAACTTCCTGTCCCGCAAGGGGTAATGGCTTGGAAATGCCAGTCTTAGAAATACTCCATCTAAAGGACCATGAATGCAGGGACTGTACGTACCCTGCTAGCTTCCAACAGAAACACAGAGCTTCAGCACTTAATGCTTGCCTCGTAATGGGAATTTTGTTCGATGCAGAAAGACACATTTCGTTCGAAGGTTTTGGGGGCTCACATGTTTGGATCTCTTGAAATTCATGCAGGAAGTCCTGGCTGGTCAAAATGACAATCACCTTCCGCGTCTGATGCTGGCAGAAGAGGAACCCAGTCAGAACGGTATTATGGGCTGTCAGCAGGCAAAGAACCACGCAAAACTATACGGAAGACATGATCAACCTCATCGTCACGGAACATGACGCTGCCACCGCAAACACTTCGGTTACCAGCAGACATTCCAACCGTGCGACGATCGCAGCGCCGCAGTGCTCGACAGCTGTTGTGTCGGAGCAAGCAGCACCATGCTGCAACAGGCAGCATCCAGTAATCCAGTGCACCAATACTGCAGAACAGAGACTAAAGCGAGGCCGGCCGGTAGAAAGACGATGCTGCACATGATGGCCATAGCACTGGAAGAGACTATGCCCTATGACCCGCAGGCTCGTTGTGATTGCGGGGGCCCCACGTTCCGTAAGCCCGCAACACGGACAGGCGCCTTGACAGGTTGTTCGGATGGCATCCCAGGGTGGCACGGGGATGTTAGGAGGCAGGAGCTGTCTCTACTATAATTACGGATCCCTCGCGGACTTTGGAGCATGTGGCCGACTAGCCCCGTAAAGCCCTGAACCCTGCACTCATCATGTGCCTCCTGCTCATCTGGTGACAAGGTTTCCCCTGGACCTCACAGCGGTTATTTCTTCACGGCAGGGCTCCGCTTCCTACGAAAACTCTGCACAGTCCTGCAGGCAAGACTCCCAAGCCTACGGACCCGATATTGCACCTCGTCTAGCAAGGGAACCCCCTTTGATATCAAGCTGACCTGGCCTCTGCGCCTGTTTAAACCTTGGATACCCTTCAAGGCCAAGTTCAGTCGGCCGGGATATTTCGTTTCTTGATGTATATTCCTGTTAACTTATATTTTTTAGTCTCTTATACGTTAGTATATTTTAGTGTATTCTGTTACCGCATATTACAGTATATAGTGTATATGTATATATATATATATATATATATATATATGTGTGTGTGTATATATATATATATGTAGCCTATAAGCTGGCCTGGTACAAGCCAGGCCAAGAGTGCTCGGGCCTCATCGATGGCCTGAGCTGCCAGAGATTCTGCCGAGGACATCGGTTCCGCTTTTAAGGTTTAAGGCTAGGGTCCCAAACTCGGGTTTGGGGTTTAGGGTTTGAGATTAGGGTTTGGTTTGAGATTAGGGTTTGGGGTTGAGGGTTTAGATGGGTTTAGGATTTATTTAGGGTCCCAATTAGGGTCTGAGGGGAATCTTGGACTCGTAGCCTTGGCACGACCGAAACGTCGCAAGTCGGATTGATTGGCTTGGGATGGATGTTTCGCGTTCCAGCGCACAGCGCCTGCGGCAGGTGCAGCGGTTCAGCGGCTCCCTGCCACAGTGTTGTGGTGCACATGCTCGACCAAAGTCGTGCTGTCGCGACACTCTCAGGAGCCAGTCAGGTGAGCCGAGGACGCCCAAGCAAATTGCAACATCCAATGTTGTTAGTAATGCCATGTTGGCCTTCAGCATGCAAGTGTCGGGTGTGTTTAAAGTCCTAGCAGTCCTAGCATGGTGTTGGGCAGGTTTGCAAAGGTTTCGGGGTGCCTTCAAATAGCTCGAAATCGCTCCAGCCATGGCATCCTGCTAACCCTAAAGCCTAAACCCTCTCATATACCCTAAATGACAAGTATTTGGGCTTTGGGGGGTGCTCTTGCGTGGTCGCGGGATGCGACCCTGGGGGTCCCCCCAGTCAGTCTTCTTCCTAATGTCGTCAGCTTGCCCAACAGCTAAACAGCGAAGTCGCTTAGAAGATAGAAGTTCTCGCTTCTGATGAGAACTTCCTGGTCTTACAAAGCTCACACCGGAACCATTCAGACAAAGCTCCTCCAGTCTCAATCGCTCCAAGTCGTCCGACTGGAAAAAGGAATCTGGAGGCAACATGGGCACCTGGCTCGCTACTGTCGGGTGCACCACGCCACAGACAAAACAATCTTTGTTGCGATACTGAGACCTCTTCGAGACTTCGAGATCTGGCTTTCCTGCTAGAAGCTTGCTTTGACGCAGTCTGACCCACTGGCTGCGGCTGAACTGCACAACTGAACATTTCTTCATTTCATTGGACCGAGTGAAAATCCCAAACCCAACTCGGCGGTACGCGGTTCTTTGTACGGACACTTCGGTGCTAATGCCCGGACCCTGACCCCTTATGTGCCGCTGGATGCAGAACCTCCCGACCACGTCACATACCCTAAGCAACACCATAACAGGGCGCATCTGCGACGTCACGGCCACCAGACTCCCCGATCATAGCAGAGTGGTCAACAAGAAGGAGGAAAATGCAGCACAAGCCCACTCCCGCGCGCATGCGTAGTCAAGCTCCTTTGCTGCCACAAACCATGTGATGACTCCGGGCAAACGGTGTTCAGATCAAAGGGCTCCCAAGTTGGGATGAAGGTAGGTGCGATAGTCCCCAGTAAGAACCCTTGCATAATGAACCCTGAATGCGACCTTCATCCTCGCTTGTGAGGCCCCTGAGTTCACCACGACCAGCCAACATGGTGCCCCAGGGACTCTTGGGCAAAGCCGGAGGGTCCAATCGGCAGAAACGAAAGGGACGATGGGGCTTGTCTCTCTTAGGATCTTCGAACCTAAATTCGCCTCCCCAAGCCTCTACAAACTCGTACATCCCCATAAACCCTAAGCTTGAATAGACCCGAAGGACCCGAAAGATCCTGAAAGTCTTATCATCGCCTCCACAAGGGGGAGTTTCCGAAAATTAGGCTTACCGGTCCTTAGAATAAAGATCCTACTATTCAGGGTACCAGATCAGGGTCCCCTATTTTCTGAAACCCCCTAAGAGCCCTTTAAAGGAACCCTGATAGTACCGCTATAGTAACCGCTTAAAGGAGCCCTCTATTTATTAGGGTCAAACCCCCTTGTAGAGCCCTTCAAAAGGAACCCTTATAGTATTGGTACCCTTATAGTAACCATTTAAAGGAACCCTAATTAGGGTCCCCCATTCTCTGAAACCCCCTAAACCCCCTTATAGAGCCCTTTAAAAAGGAACCCTTACAGTAACCCTTTAAAGGAACCCTATCAGGGTCCCCCTGTTTTCGGAAACTCCCACCCGAGCCCAGCCACCTCCTCGAAGCGGCGCTTCGCCTCCGACACCTCAGGGCCAGCCTCGCGCTCTGCTTGGACTCATAGGGACCCTTAGGGAGGATCGCCCTATAAGGGTACTTCTGAGGAACCCCCCCCATTGGGATCTACTTTTGGGATCCTCCCGGGGGCCTGGGTATGGACCCCTAAGGGGGGCAAGGCGGAGGTTACCGACTTGGTCCACTTCTCGATTTGGGCGTGTCATCCTTGTGCAGGGGCCATGCCAATACTAAAAAGTTTCAGGTTTGGGGTTGAGGAGGGGATTAGACTGCCTCAAATAAGCATTGAGGCCCCCTACCCCCCCCTCTCTCCCTCCTCCTACACCCCTAAAGCTCCGTATAAATTTGGGGTTTCGGTGCTCACGGCTTTCTTTGCCTCCCGCCTGGCTAGGACGAACCTGTTTTAGGGCTTCGATGGGCTTTTTGTCACTCACAAATATTTTAAGTTTCAGGAGTTACATATGGGAGTTTCCGAAAACAGGGGACCCTAATATAGGACCCTAAATAGTAGGATCCTTACTATAAGGACCCCAAATAAGGCACCCCTAATTTTCGGAAACTCCCATATGGTTTCGGTGCTCATACTTCGACGATCCCGGCCTCGTAGTCGAGCATTATAAGGGTTTAGAGTGCCCACTACTGGTAACAGAGTCGCACCACCGAGGGCTTAGGCTTTGGGGCTTCAGTTTGGAAGCATTAGGCCAGCAATGCGTCAGAAAAACAGCCGCTCGCCCCCCAAAAAACGATATCACTGCGAAAGTATAGAGATTTCGTCATTTCATGAAGCACAGCAGCCAATCGACACCCAATACACCGAACCCTTCTATCAGAACCCCAACGCCCCAAGTCCTGAGCCCTTAGCCCTCGGTATTGCCCATGCCCCCAAACCCTGAAGCCTAAAACCTGGCCTGAGCCTTAAGGCCGTCAGGCTGAACCTGCCTGAATCCTCTTCAAAGGGTTTAGGCTATCAGGGTTACGGTTTTGGGTTTAGGGCTATAGGGTTTCGGCACTCACACTCGAGCAATTTTAGGGTTTAGGGTTCAGGACAACTCTTAAACCTCATCACTCCTAAAAGGCCTGAACTCTAAGGATGCTATGCGATTTCGGCCGTTTAGCTTGCACCCGTAGGCTCCGTAGTAGTTATTTTGGGGCTTCCAGTTAAAAATTTAGAATCCTATTAGGTAATCCCAAAAAGGAACTACTATCGAGCCTATGGGTACGTCCACTAAGGGGGCAGGATACGGTGCCATTTGTGCCTATGCTCCCCAACGCTGGTGACTGCGTTTGCCAGTTTTGCCTATGCCCACTGAGGGTGGAGGATACTAATACGGTTTGCCTGCGCCCACAAAGAGTTAAGACTAGGCTTAAGCACATGATGACAGAGAGGTTTAATAGAGCCTGTAGGGCTTCAAGGGCTTAGGGCTTACCGAGTTGATAAGGTTCAGGGTTTTGGTCGGACTCTGGGTCAAAGTCATGAATATGTTGGGGTTTGTGACCAATGAGCTCCCGGCTTGCAGCTTGGTATAGGGTTCTAGGGTTCAGGTCACGCTTGCCTGCGGTCATTTTGTGGTCATATGAAGACACATAGACGGGCAGGAAGTAGATCCTTGATGAGACTGGACACCTAAAAGCCTGCGAGAAGCCTCTGCATGCATACCAAGTTATATCACCTATGGCAGTAGGCAGCAAGTGTGCTGGACAGATGAAGGCTAAGATTCAGGGATGATAGGGATGTTGCTTCAAATCAGCTTCAGAAAGAGAGCCGGCCAAAAAAGTAGCATTGTCCGCCCTTCCCACGTTCTATCTGCGCCGCAGCACATGCTAGGATATTGGCAGGATCCCCGCAGGATCCACGTTAAATTCCAAGCCTCGACATTTTCAACCGGATCGCTAGATGGTTTGGGCCAGGGCGGCTAGGGACTGCGGGTGTATCCTTGCCTCGTCTTTCGGCTCGGCCTCCGGAACCGAAGCCGCCTTTGCAACGCCTGGGGTACTTGACATCAAGAGCGCCTAGCCTAGCAGAGGCTTGAAGACAGCTGGCGGCAAGCCAAAGCCGGCACAGCTTGAACTTAATTACTTTGCGGAGCTTGGTCTTCAGAGACCTGGACACATTTAAAACGGCCTCGATGTTTTAAGCTGAAACTTGCCTGAATCTGAAAGCTCTCGACAAACTGCAGTGCTTGGCTTCTCGCCATCCGCTGGGGATGACAAAGTCACTAATATAGGGGCTTAATAATCAGAACAGGGCTTTTGGGCCCATTATTGTACTATAAATATAATAAGGAACCCCCAAAACAGTATGGGTAGTTATTTAGGCCCTTATATTAGCCTCTTATGTAAACTCGCGGATCAGATGCGGTTCTCACAGATTTTCAATCTTCAAGCCTGCTTGGACTCCGACCTGCTGGCGTTTGAAATCCCGGAAACTCCCACACAAACCCCTGCAACCCCCCAGCAATTCTCGATTCTTGGTCGCAAGTAGGGAAGCAACGAAGACCGACACCAACTGGAATCTTCGGGACCCCAAGGGAAGTTCCGGAAAAAGCCAGGTTACCGACCCGAAGTGGA